GTTGTCACAATACTGGAATTTTGATACTTCGGTACTGAAATTTAGAAATGTCCATTTCCTACTAATTTGAGTGCTGTTGAGTGCATTCTTAAATACCGCTAATTGGCTGTTGTGTTCAAATGCTCAACAGACATCACCATGATTGGCCATCAATAAGATCAGCGCTCAAATGTTAGCAAAAATGTTTGTTTTAAAATTTTTTTTACTGATTGGTACCAAAATTCCAGTATTGTGACAACGATAGGGCAAACAAAGACTTTTGGTTTAAGGCCCTGATATTCTTCAGATAAAGCTCTTTTTCGTCGTTTGCGAGCAAAAAAGTCTACTGATTTCGAACCTCACTATGCGCTGCAGAGGCGGAATTGTAATATGTCACGCTAGTCCTAAACAACAACAACAACAATGGAGAACAATGTAATCTGAGAGAACAACAGTTTAACTTAATTCCTTTATTTTGTCCTAATTTTAATCGATTGTGTGGAACCCAGCATACACCAAAATGCTTTCTATTTGCTGCGGATAGACAGCAAATGAAATGATGTTTAGAACTTTATCAGACATGGCACGATGCGGTTGTGCTTCACATCCTGTTGTGAGAAAACCGTTAAATCCACGAGTGATCTTACATCTATATCAGCTCTGCTACTCAACCCACCAGTTTATTCCTGTTGATAAGTTGGTGTTGTTGTGCAGGATGCTTTTTCTCCTCTCTCCTTTACTCTAAACTCAATGATTACGGATTACATGTCAGAGAAGGTGGAGTTCCAGAACGCACCTACTGATTGCATAATCATCAAAGACCAATGGTAGATCAAAAGTGTTTATAACTAACCCAAAATTAATGAATGAACTAACACAAAAAGTTGGCTTTGGTGAGCTGTTTCATACTGCCGAAACAAACTAAAAACTAATTTTGTTGTTTGTTTGAAATGACATCATTTCAGTGCTTTTCTGATTTCTATACTGTGCGTACTCTGTATACTGGGGCTTTTAGTGTCTGTAAGTCATTCAGAAAATGTTTTTATATAGTTTAATATAGTTTTAAGTTTTTAGTATAGTATTTAGCATATGGTTTAATATTTAATTTTTTTAGAGCAAGACAGTATGTCTGATAATATTTTTTGTTCTGGAGAAAGCCTTATTTGTTTTAATTCGGCTAGAATAAAAGCAGTTTTTAAACCACTTTAAGGGCAAAATTATTAGCCCCCTTTAAGCTATATTTTTACAGGAAAAACATAATTTTACAATAACTTAACCAAACCATCGTTTTCAAATAATTCCTTTAAGCTCAATACTAGTGTCTTGAAAAATATCTAGTAAAATATTATTTACTGTCATCATGGCAAAGATCAAATAAACCAGTTATTAAAAATGAGTTATTAAAACTATAATGTTTAGAAATGTGTTGAAAAAAAATCTTCTTTGTAAAACACAAATTGGGAAAAAAAAATAATAAACAAGGGGGCTAATAATTCTGACATGAGCTGTACAAGTTTTTATTTAACAGTTCCCTAAATTCATTCCAAAGAACTAAATTTTATATTTTATTCCAATCTCAGTAAACAAAATGCTACAACTGCATTTTTAGGAATTTATCTGAATAGAATTTCTTGTTTTACATCAACAATTCTTTCATGATTTGTTTATGTGTACAGTCATATTTCAGGATTATTGAAGCTACCTAATCCTGAAATTTTGATGACTTGATTCACTGACTTTTCTGCTTTGAACACACACACACACACACACACACACACACACACACACACACACAAAAAAAAAGCTTTATAAAAGATTTGCAAAAGACTATTATTTTAAATAAAAACTTTTCTTCAGCTTTAAACGTCACACTCATGAAAGAAACCCGAACAAAACTGTCACTGTTTGCACAAAAATATTATGCAGCTAAAGAAATAAGAAATGTCTCCAGACTATAAAATCAGCATATTAAAATGATTTCAGAAGGATCGTGTGACACTAAAGACTAAAGTAATAACTGCAAAATAATTCAGCTTCGCCATCACAGGAATAAATTATAGTTTAAAATGTATTAACATTTCAGCTTGTAATATTAATTAAAAACATAACTGTATTTTGATCAAATAGATGCAGTCTCTGTCATCTCACTGGCTCATTTTTTCCTCTCTCTTTTTCCCTTATGGCAAAATAAACTGCAACAGTAAAAGAAGTGTAGCCACTAGCTATCACCATCTTCTTTATCTGAGATTTACAAGTCTGTACTTTAGCTCTAAAACAAGTTCAGACAACAATGGAGCAGATATTACTGAAGCTAGGTAATCTGACCTAACATGTTTCTGAAAAGTCTTAAGTCCTGTACCTGAAGTGTGAATCATTTCAAGGTTTCCTACGACAGCCTGACCTCTGGATCGGCTGTTTGCACCTTTTTACGCTTCTCTTCCCCTGTAAGCCCACAAATCTTGTTTTTACAGGGGAGAAGAGGATGGGGGGGCACGGCTGCATAAAATATTCAGTGTGGGTCCATTTAGTAAACCCCATATGCGTGCACAGTGATCCATGAAGAAAGTGAGAAAGAGAAGAGAGCGTCAGCCGGAGAGAGAGACAGAGAGGGGGGGGGGGGGGGAGACTGGGTGAAGAAGCAAGAACCCGCTGATATGAGTGCAGGCGAGTGTGTCTTCATACACTTTTTCAGGGAGCCTTATGCTTCAGTAGATTTACATAAAAACCTGATGTTTGGGACTGATGGCAGTCAAAGAATCTCAGAAGACCATTAGGATGTAGCTAACCTCTCTCCTCCTGTCTGTTTGTATGTGTGTCCTGTAGATGGATGTTTACTCTGATGGACCATTTTCACAGTATACACACAGGTCGATGTGACATGAAAAAGGCTTTTTCAAACAAAATATGCTCTGCAAACCATGTTTGAGTGAGGAAATGAATCACTGAGCTGTGCATGAGCTTAACAAATTATTAACAAAACTGCTGTTTGGTCAACAAATACTCATAGATTGAATAGTGTTCAAACGTTTGGGGTTGGTAAGATTTTTTTTTACTAACAGTGTATTTACTTGTTTAAAAATACTGTAAAAACAGCAATTCATTAAAATTAATAATGTCATACAAATAAGTGGCGGTTCATTCCACTGTGGTGATAATCAGGGACTAAGCTTAAGGAAAATGAATGATACAAATAAAGTGTTTTAAATAAATAACAAATAAATGTTTTTTTATCTGAATATATTTAAATATGTAATTTTTACATATTAAATATGTAAGCTTATTCTGCATAATTATTTCTCCAGTTCAACAGATGAACTCTATCTAAACTGAAAACATTTTCAAGAGTTTTTTTTTTTTCAGTTGTACACAAAAAGATATAACAAAAATGTTTGAAACATTTCTATTAATTTCCATAGTATTTGTTTTTCCTTAGTTCGTAGTTTCAGTTTTCCAATATTCTTCAAAATAGCTTCTTCTGTGTTCAACAGAACAATAGAACACTGTAAAAAATGCTGGGTTCTACACATTTCCTTCATGTTGTCTAAGCACAAATCGATTAAGTTCACTTAATTGTTTTCAAAAATGTAAGTAGACTGAATGAAAAACAATTAAGTTGTCCTCCCAAAAAAATTTAAGAATGGTGTTGTTTCAGCTCATTTTATAGAAGTATTTTTTCCTTTACTTTTATCAATTGTTGAAGTTTGTTCCTCGCCACTGTCGCCATTGGCTTGCTTGGTTTGGGACTTGTGGAGTTGCGCATCAGTGGATTTATTCTTCAGTGTTTGGACTTTCAACAGTAAAAATCAAACCACACTAAACTAAACTGAACTTCAACTCTGAAAACTTGACTGACACATCTCAATTTATTAGAACTTCTATGTTAAGCTGCTTTGTAATCTACATAGTAAAAGCTCTAGAGAAATAAAGATAAATAGACTTGAATATATATATATATATATATATATATATATATATATATATATATATATATATTATATATATATATATATTTTTTTTTTTTGAGTTAAGTAAAAGATGAGGAAACTATAACAGAAAGTTGCTTTTTGTGTGAACTATCCATTTATGTGTCCCACAATCCTTAAAAAAGCATTCTAGTATGCTGACTTGGTGGTTGAGTAACATTCCTAATTATTAGGGATGTTCAGATCAGGATTTTTGCAGCCGATACAAAGTACAGATTCCTTGTCATGGAGATCGGCCAATATAAGTAACGATTCTGATGCTTTAAGCTTTATAATGCATAATGCACATTTTCCATGTAAGTATGATACTTAAATGGAGATCTCATCTTACCTGAGAGAATAAGTAAGAGATGCTGCATATAATCCCTTGAATACGTCGCTTATAACCATTTGGGTGTGAACATATCATGGTCAGATTTACAGAAAACAATAGATAGCACAGATTTTTTTAAAAGTTTGAAAAATGACTAACAATACAGTTTGGAAACAACATGTCTCAATCTAGAAAAGGTTTGGAGAGCATATTTCATGCATAAGAAGTTAAAATGCAAACCTATGAATTCATCACTTCTTTACTAAAAGGAAATAGGCCTATATGCTACTGTTTATTGTGATAAGTATATTACAAGAAGTTAAATTATTTAATATTCATGTTAAAATATAATTTTACATTTTTTAAATATATATAATTTTCCAGCCATGTTTCAGTGACCTTGCAATATTGTCAAAAACACAGAAGTCTCAGTTCTTGTTTGTAAAACAAGCAAGGTCATTCAAATATTATGTTAATCTCCAACTAACACAAACACTTGCGATCGGTTTATGTCATTAAATATGATTATGGGCCGATACCCATCTCTGGCTGACTGATCTGAGCATCCCAACTAATTTTTATTTTCATGTAAATCACAATTCTTGTGTATTTTCACAATTTATAGAACAGAAAAAAACATCAAAACATCCCCCAGCTTACTCCAGTCTACCTCAGCAGGATCTTCAGCATACACTGTAAGTAATATGAGGTGAAAACACACTCACCGGTCTTTTGGTTGATGCTGAAGAAGCCTTGTGGGTTTCCACTGGTGATCTTGTAAGAAAGTTTTTCACTGGACTTTGTGTCCGGGTCAAAGGCCTCGATCTGGATGATTGAGACGTCTTTAGGGGAGCTCTCCATGACGGACGGATAATAGACCGGTTCTGAGGTCTGTGGGGCATTATCATTGACATCCTGGACCTCGATATAGACCTCCACAAAGGAAGATAGAGGGACCACACCGCGGTCGGTGGCGTAGACCGTCAGCCAGTAGTGAGGTACAGTTTCATGATCCAGCAGTTCCTGTGTGCGGATCACTCCTGAGGAAAAGAAAGAAGAATTATGGTCATATCTCCTTATCAACTTTAAAAATTATTTTATTTCTATATGCATATATTGAGGACTTTGGGAGCGACTTAAAAAATAAGGACAAACATCTAGTAAAATGTATCCTTCTCCGCTTATTTGGAGCTCTACCCCTGACTGTGAGTTATTTTTCTGAATTAATAGCTTTTCTATTTTGTTGCAGTGGAAGTCTCCCAGGGTTTCTGCAGGTTTCTTCAAGTCGAATTTAAGACTTTTTAAGGCCATTTTATGACCATTGTGAATGAAAGTTTAGACTTGTACAGGGCTAAACATTAAGGATTCTTTCTATTGGGCCAACTAGTTCAGTAAATATTTTTTGTATTAATGAAAGATCATGTAAAGGGTTTTAGTTTTTAAAAATTTTCCCTGATTAGGGAATTTATTAATATATAATTTGCAGAATTGGCAGTAAAACTGTCTAACAGCTGTTGTGAATTGTCTCTCTTTACAATAAAAAACTTAAAAATAAAAAGATTGGGTATCGACTTGATAAGGTAGCTTTACTTGGTCATAGAAAAATTTACTTTTAAAATGAACTTTTTTAAGACTTTTTAAAACCTCTTGAATACCCTGTCTGCTTATCCCCATCCCATACTCAATGGACACCTATGAAAGACATCTTATTTTTTGTAAATTTAGAAAGAATCTAATACAATCTTCGAGGTTCAGTGATTACATTTTTTAACATTTTGTTGGCATTCTTGCAGCATGCTACTTGAAGCAGTTACTGTAGAATGAAAGGTTGTCCATCTTGCACTTTTAGTTTGTACCTTCCATATGAATACTAGTGCTATAGCACAAGCAAACAGCTCTTTCTTGACGTAAAACCACAAGTTTGAAGAATGTGTCACCCCCAGCCTATTCAGTTTAATATATTTTCCCTTTTCTCTCTTACTCTTAATTTTTTCTATTATTTTTTCTTTTATTATCATTATTAATTTGACTTAATTAACCAAAATAAGCATCCCTAGTTAAATTTTTCCAATATTGTGCAGCCCTAGTGTCATTATAGACCATTTTGAGGGATGTAAACAAAAACAATGGTACCAACGTATTTCCTGTTTTACGTTTTTATTCCCATAGCTTCCAAGAATATAAAAAGAGCCACATATTGATAAATAAGGATTTTATGTCTGTTTTAAGTTATGATTAAATTGCCTATTGTTAGTTATGAAATAGTTTGATAACAAGCAAGAAATGTTCATCGGCCAATGACATGACCACATTAAAATGGGTCTATAAAGGTGAACAGTTTGCTACACTTTAACATGAACGCTACATTTTTTAACATGAACAGTACACAATGTTTTAAATGTTTCCACGTTTATGCCATTTAAAATGAACTTATATATTCACATTGTAAATAATTACTTAATTTGGTTTCCTAGTGGCACTCCACATCCCCCATATGATACACAACATACAGCAAACATTTCTGCAATTCTTCACAACCATTTGTCACCAATGATTCATTCAACTTCACATCCAACACCACCACCACGCAGTATTTGGCTTCTCTTCATCACAAATCAGTGCAAATCACTTCACACACATTATACGTTTCTTTCTCTAGGTGTAAAGTCTAAAGCAGGCCTTCAAAGAGCATTTCTACTTTCCACAGTCTCTACCCATAATGCTTTGCCCATGATAATGGTAGCCTTGGAAGCGGATAAGTGGCTCTGATAGGTTTAAGTGGGAACCTGATACCTCCTATAGACCGCCTTCCGGTTCTCTAAGTGTACAATGCCTTTGTTAAACTTGCCTACTTAGAGCCAGAGTCACCTGTTCGGCTCACTACCTTGCAATTTCTAAACATTAGAGACATTTCACATGTGCGCTGCATTGCACTCAGCTGTGTCAACAGTCTGCCTATTCAGAAGGGCAAGACTCTCTCTCTCTTTGACTGCCATAAAGGAATGAAATGGGGGAGGAGGAGAAGGTGGAGGCCGTCAGAGAGCAAACAGCAGGCCTGCATACAAAAGAGAGGTCGAATCCATCACATCTAAATAGAAAGTGGACTTGTGATCTCTACATTCAGCCAGGTGTGGTGTAATTTATGCTGCAGAATGATTCATTGTGATTTATTGGTTTATTACTGATATTTTATTGTATCATGCGGAATAAAGCGTGGGCTTGCTGAAGGGCAATAAAGACCTGACTTGCCTGAAAAGACCTGTAATGTTATCAGTATCCAGTGATCTCATCGGGCAGGTGAGGTTTGTGTCAAAAGAAGAAAAAAAAAGAAATAGAGAGAGCTAGATAGACACTCCCTGGCCAAAGTTTACCTCTGCCAGAACAGTGAGGATACTGTCGTCGAAAAACTCGATCCGATTAAACATGAGCCGTTAAACTTTGAGATTATACCTTGCTGCAATGTTCTCTCTGTTTTTTTTTCTTCAAGCAGAGCAAACTTTTCTCTATTTGGGCGGACATTTTGACCACTTGTGCAAAAGTATTCTTTCTACCAGAATTGTACAGCACACAGATTAAAAAAAGACTAAAGTAAAGAAAAAAAAAATTATATATATATATATATATATAAATGTTCTTTGTCAATTAAATATGTCTCTTGAAGTAGGCTATCTTTCGTCATGTTAAATCTTATTTTAAAAAATTATTTGAACAAATTAAAGTTTTTTTTTTTTTCAGAAAGCATTTGAGAAGTTTTTTGAGAAGTGGATCATTGTCTTGCTGAAATGTACATCCTGGTTTCATCTTTATCATCCTAGTAATGTTGATGTTGGACTGAAGCAGCTAATATTCATTTATACTGACGAAGGGCAGAGGGTTGCTGAATAACTACACAGGGATTTCATCTGCTGTCTGCGCTTTCACTGCCTTTCTACACCTCCCTTTCTTCATGTGTTCATTACTTTTTTTTCTCTGTGTCATTTCATTTTATTACAACTAACTTAATTTGTAAATTAATTACATTTGTTGTCTTTGCATATGTAGATTTCCTTGGTTGTTACCAATATCCGGTGAAAATGTCAAGTTAACAGAAATATGTTTTTTGAAAAAAAATGATGACGTGTTCAATTCTTATTTCCCCTACTGTAACTAATATAATGTGTAATAATTAAAAAAGTGATTTATACATGTTCTGAAAAGCTGAATAAATAAGCTATCCAGTGATGTTTACTGTAGTTTGTTAGAACAATGTTTGGCCGATATACAGGTTTTTGAAAATCAAATAAAAAAATATAGTAAGACAAATCTCCTTTAAAGTGTTCTAAATAAAGAGCTTAGCAATGATTAAAGATAAGAGTTTTGATTATTTACAAATGAAAATTGACTAAATGTCTCAATGACTTATTGGCTGCATCTGAAATCGCATACTTCCATACAATATAGTACATTAAAAACAGTATGCAAGCCAAGCAGTGTGTCCGAATTCATAGAATTCAAAAAACAGTATGCGAGAAGTACACAAATGACCTACTACTTCCACCGAGATTCTGAAGTGTGAATGCGATGGACGCTACCCTCTACCATGACGCACCACGTAAGAATTCATGAATGGGAGTGATGCGACGAAATTGACGCTGGTAGGTCACGTGACCGTGACTAAATGGCGGATGTAGTACATCCGAGTACCATTCATACTACTCACATTCATACTGTATAGAACATACTTTTGTAATGGATGAGTAGTAAATTTAAATTCAAATGCAGTCTACTGAATAGTATGCAATTTCTGACACAGCCATTATTTTTCCTTAATATTTAAATGATTTTTGAACTATACAATGTATTTTTGCTATTGCTAAACATGTACCCATGCAACATAATACATCCAGGATCACATCTAATATACCGTAATTTATAAAAATATAGTTGTGTTCCCATAATGCATTTATATTCTGTTATTTCCACTATACCCAAGCCACTGTACTTTAAAACTTAATAACGTTTTACTTCACATGTTTTGTCTGTCTTTTAGGTTTAGTCAAAGTCAACTAATAAGTCATCAAAGGATTTCTAATGTGAAACATCATGATTGACCCTGACATTGGGTGCAATGATGGTAATTCAGTTGCATCAGTACTCCCGCAGGAGTACAGGTTTCTATTTCAACAGGTCATCTTGCTCTGTTTATGAAGGAGTTCAGTAGGCAGAGAGCAGGCGTACTTTAGCGGCTGTTCGAACGCATTTAACTACAAGTAGTTCTATGCTATGTTTTACGGGGCTGGCTGTTCCTGCTGCCATGGGGGAGGTGCGGGGAATCACGATGCTGGCTCTACATCGTGATATCTCGCCTATCGTCCATTGTCTAAGACTATTTTACAAGTTTTGGCATTTGAGTTGTCTCTCATTTTGAGCTACTTCATTTGCAAATAGTGAAGTGAGTATTGTGAAGAATTACAAACATTCCAGAAGAAAATGATTTAGAAAAAGACACTATTCACTTTCTAGGAAACATGTCCGATAACCACAATAACATCAGTTCAAAGATAAAATTCTAAAGATAAATGGACACTTGTTTTGCTGGTGAATAACATATGTAGCAACACTCTAGCAAACTCTAACTTTAATAGTGGACGACCAGAGAACTGTTATTGTTTATCATATACAAAAGTATAATCAAAAATATCCTTTTGTCCTCTGTGTGGCTTAAAGGTAATATTGGTTAGCTTGTTAAGAAATCTTAATGCGATTTTTATTCAGGTAGAAAATGTTGCAAGCAAAGCTTCATTTACTAATTCCCCAACTTTATTTAAGCTGGCTCAGCATTTTTTATTTAGTCACAGAGTACAAGCTTTCTCTCAAGGAAATAAACAACGGGCAACTTGATCCTGTTTGTTACAGGGCAATCTTTTCCACAGTGTTTGGTACAAGTTCTGGTTCTTTGTCTCCTTAACTTGCTCTACTGGGCTTTAGAGACTCTGAGGACTAGATGGAGCCTCAAGGGAGTTGACAGTGAAGAGCTTACTTCTTTAAAAACAGACAAGGA